AATTAATAGTGCAGGCAGTATTAAATATGGAGTACACAAATTGCCTGTGGGCTTCGTAATTAATTCTAATGGAAGAAATTAAAAATTGGTGGGGTGGATTCAGATTATTCTGCTGTATGGCCGTGGTTTCAGGACCACTGGAGCGACTCTGTCAAAGAAAAGATCTTGCCTGGACTTTCCAGAAATCTCTGTCCTTTGTCACTCCGATGGATGAACGTCCATCTGCCCAGACCGACCTTGAAATAGACTTGATTTGTTTTTGTGTGTTTGAAAATTCCCCGAATCCCTAATTCAGGATGATTTGTTTACTCTGCATTTTTTTGGTGAATGTTTTGTTTTGTTTTTGCTTTTTTTGTTTGTGTGTTTTTTTTTGTTGGTTTGTTTATTTTGTATGGGTTTGGTTTCTGTATTGTTTGTGGTGTTGGTTAGGGTTTTTTGTTTTGTTTTTATGGGTTTTTGTTTTGATTTTTTTTTTTATTGTACTTTTGCGTCCATTAATTTTTCCGTTTTTAGCCATGACGAAAATGTGTAAGTTGTATTTTTAAATACTATGCTGAAAACCAAAATTGAAATTAGAACCGTACACACAACATGCTGCCTGAAAAAGTAAAATAGTGACTTTTTTCAGATTTTTGTTTGCGACTTTTTGCACCATAATAAACATTTGAAAAATGCACAAAATAATATAGAAAAATGTAAATTTTAACAAGTTTTCTTTGGCCAAATTAGAAGTAATGCTTCTCCCACATGTTCAGTTGAGAACTTGAGCCATGTCTGGAAAAGTGCAGAGACGTAATACAAATATGATTTTAAAACTGAAATCCTGGGAACTTTATCATCGTGAAATTATATATTGGGGTATAATTTTGTCATAATTTTGTGTAGGGATGTAACGATTCACTCAACTCACGATTCGATTTTCTCACGATTTTTTTTAACAAAATGAGATTGAAGTCATTATACAGTAAATGAAAAGGTGTCGTTTTATTAGGCTATTGCTGCACGTTTCTTTGCGAAATTGAAATATAACAAAATTAAATTGAAATTTTAAAACAAACCCCAAATCAAACAACTAAGTTACACAAATAAAATAAATCTCTTAATATGAACAAACTAAGGCTTTGTCTGTGCTCTTTCCATTTAAAATTAGAGGCAACCACTAGATTTTAATCATGATCCAAACAAAGATGCAGCATGAGTAGTTTTTAATCTGAATTAGACCGTATTCGAATTTCGAAATTTGAAGCAAAAACAAAATGGTCTGACTTTAGATTTGTGAAACTATACTACATAAAACTTATATCTGAAGGAAACAGCAGACGAGCTGAATGAGACGCAGATTCACTCTCTGCCAGCAGGTGGCGCTTATGAACAGCAATGATACAGTGTTTCCTGGGTTACCGCTGTAAACAAAGCAGAGCTGTGCTTATGAACACTACTGTAATATGCATTGTTCAGAGGCAAGATGAAAATAAAATACCACGTAAACTTTTCTAAAGAGAGCCAGTTCCCCTCAGAGATACATTCGTATAAACTCCTACTACAATTGTATCGCGATTTGTTTGGCATCTCAACCGATTTGAATCGTCACATATTTTAATCGATTTTTGACCGGCTTAATCGTTAATCGTTACATCCCTAATTTTGTGTGCTATCTGGGTCACTGTATTGGAGAGGACCATGCATGGTTGCTCAAAGTACGTATCGTGTTAGAGTGCTACTATAATGGGGTAAATATGTAAATAAAATATAAAATTATAATTTCTCCTACTTCTCCAGATACAGACAGGCCCGGTTGCAGAATCAAAATACTGCACTTCTGAAATCAGTGAGGGTGCTCTAGCCTTAGTGTAGCCTGCATCTGTTTTAACATATTTTTGCCCTGTCCATTGATAGTAACATCCGCATATAAATGCCGCATTTATATGCAGATGTCACTGCCGTAACTTGCAGCGTGTAAGTTGACACTGGTCCTCTTAGCATCATGTAAAACAAAACTTATTCAAATTCTGAATGGATTAGCCAAGAAACTCCCTTTATAATAATTAAAAAGCTGTCACTCATGTCAGTTTATCGCGATCTCACAAAGTCCAGTTATAATCAATGAAGCTCTACACTGCTCAATGACTCTCTTATTTACATCACGTTACACTTATTTATAATGAGAGACTCCCGAGCGTGCAGCACTGAACCAAACTGTGGTGGTGAGTGGACTCTAACTTAAACGCTTGGCCAGTGCGTTCAGGAAATCAACAGAAAATGTCGGTGATTGGCACATTGAAAATAGAAACCTTTGAAGCTCTCCAGAGTTCAAACACAAATACACACTGGAGCATTTGGAAACTATTTCACCAGTATCCTATTTCTACAGTTTCAACTGAGGTGCTCTTGCTTTTGTTTTGTTCCCTCTTGCATTCACGTTGAACTGGCCCTGGAGACAGTTAATTGCAAAGAAATATGTATTGTATTTAGGGATGTAACGATTAACTGCGAGCCGGTTGAAAATCGATTCAAATATGTGACGATTCAAATCAGTTGAGATGCT